GTGTAAAACATACTGATATGATGGATTAATGAGTGCAGTGTCTGATAACTCCCCACTGTTCATATAAAAGATGAACGCAGATGAAAGACAGGGTGGAGGTTGGAGTCATTCAAATCACAGGAGATCTTGTGACTTTACTCGATGGGAAACATCTCCTGTGACATATGGAAAGAAGTGTTTGGTGTTTAAGAGTCTGACGAAGACATGTTTGATTTTGAGTATCCTGGTCATTTAAGAAGGACTCCCTGATGCTTTGGGTGTACAAAGTTAGGCTTCTATCATCTGAAGAACATTTCCAGGATTAAAGGACTAACTCCCCAGCAAGATCTAGAGAAATCCATGCATGCATTTGTCTTTAGTCACATTGATTACTGTGATAGTGTGGTCACAGGACTGCCTGATAAGGCAATCACACAGCTGCAGCTGATCCAGAATAGTGCTCCACTAAAACCTGGGAGATGGAGCACATCACCCCAGCTTTAAAGTCCTTCCACTGGCTCCCTGTAGCTCAGAAAATAGACTTTAAAATACTTCAGTCAGTTTATAAATCATCGAATTGCACAACAGAACTTTGATAAACATGACTTTGAGACCAACAATAGGAAATTGGGCATCTACTGTACTTTTAATTTTAATGTCTTTTTCTTTACTAAAACTTTAACTTTCTACAGTTTGAACTATAATCTGATATAAATATTCATTATTAATAATAGTGATTTATTGTAACCAATGCTACAACGGTCTTAATAATTTGAAGAAAAGAAAATTTCATTTTTGAAAATGTAAACAATTTTCTACCTTGAGGTTTGAACAATTACACACTGCACAGAAAATAAACTAAGCCCCCTCAGATACGGTTCCCCCATTGAGAAAGTCCTATGTGGATAATGTTTCAATCAACATAAATTAAAAAAGAAAAGAAATGGCTGACTACCTGGTGACAAGATTAATTTTTATTGCTTTAAAATGAACAAATAATTATTAATCTCATTGTAAACTCTCAATTGAAGTTCAAGCCATCACTTTTCTTAAAGACACTAAAGCAGTTTAGCATTTTCCTCTGAGAATATGAGGAGTTATTGTAATGATTTAATAGGAACTCCTTTGGTTCCGTTTGACCCAGCAGTGGTTTATAGAAAACTTTAACCCTTTTAATTTATTAAACAATCCAGACTCACACAGCTATGCGACAAGGAGGGTTCTATAAATATTAAAAGAAGAGTTTGCTCTGCCACACTCTCATATTAAATCATACAGAGAAGGATGTATATGGCCTTATTAAATAATAATGTCCTTGTGGGCCTGCAAAATGTATAACTGTGTATGCAAGATCCCTTCTATCCTCCTCCTTCTTGGCTCAAATAAAAAATGTTTTATCCCCTTGTCCATCAGTTCTGGTTTCCGAACTGAATAAAGACACAGTTCCAGAACCAGTGCTTGTTTAGCAGCATTTTTGTGTGTTTCCCCAAATTCAAACCAGTCATAACATTAGCCTGGCAAAAACCAGCTCCTGGTTCTGTTTTGCTTCGTACAGAGAATGTGGACCCATGGTTAATGAGAAACAATTGTTTGCTAGAGCTGTGGATTCTGTTGAAGTTTTAAATGATATCCAGATTCTAATGTTTTACCGTGATCTATATATGCAGTTCAGTGCTATAAAGTTTACCAGAAATTACTTGGGCTGTAAGCAAACACCCAAACCCAACATTAATGTAAAATAATAAAACATAATATTGACAGCATATGCTAAATTGTACATAAAGCAAAGAAGTTAAAAACATGACAATAAAAAATAAATATGGTCAGTTTTATTAAAATTCAGCTGTCAACACTTGAGTCCTTGCAAATTTTAACTTAACACAACTTTTTTAAAAAAAGATTTGTTGAAGTATATCTGAAAAGAGATGATATCCAAAGCACTGATTTAGACTCTCACAAAATATTTATATTTCTTGACATGATTTTAAGTTATGAGTCAGTATTCGCTCTCTCTCCCGGTTTGTTTAGTGTTGCTAGGTCAAATATTTCAAGTGCAGTTTATTCCATATCACAGTTACCATCAGAATTTCAGTTCAACCACAAAGGTAATTTTAAGGGGACTTGCAGTAAATCCTGCGTGCCAATTATGGATTTGGAAAGTTGGATGAAAATGTATCATTGCGGCAAAGCTGAGGTGATGGGGTCATTTCAATGCTGCAAACGAAAGCAGAAGTAAGGAAAATGTGGTTTAATTCTAACTCTAACCATCGTTTTACTACTGATTATGTGGTTTTGATAATCACCATTTTACAATTTTTAAGTTGTAAAAATAAAATTCAATGGCATCTTAAATAGTGGTGAGAGTGGTTCATTGTGCAAGTCAATAATTTCAAGATTATGCAGTGGTGTTTTTCAAGAGGTATTGAAAAACACATAAAATTTCACAATTTTATGGGAAATGAACCTGACGATACATTAGTAGGTCGCATTCTGATTGAGACTGGGCCTCCAAAGGAGAAAACTGTTCAATTGTTTCCTATATTTCATCATCTTTTTTCCCCAAGTTTCTTGCCTTCTGCTAAAGTTGAAACTTATTCAAGTGCTATCCCTTAAAGCGTTTTATCAGACAGAGCGACCTCCTGCGGAGCTGCTGAAGTTTTTACACAACTTATTCACATTTGTGAAGAACTCTTCAAAAAATCTTCAAGAAATTTATGAATGTGGTTCATTTGGCAGAGCTTCAACCCCATGAGAATGCACTATCACTGATTTGTACGCAGATGAGAAAATATGTGGAATAAACCACAAATGTTATATTTCTATATTTTTGAACATAATCAAAGAATCAATTCCATTATATGCAATGATCAGGCAATCTAATGTAAAAAACATAAGCCTTTCACTTCTAAAAGAATATCTGGGGATCTCACAGTCAGCCAGAGGATCAGCAGTCAAGGGAGTGTGTGTTTAATGATTAAAAATACACACATATACAGGGAGAAGCCTGACAGAAAAAGAATAAAAGACAAAACTGGGTGTGTAACTAAACGCCGCTGTCCTTCTCCTGCTGGGTCTTGCCAGGGGAAAATTCCTCTACTCGCTGCTCCACCAACCAAGAAGAACTGCAACACAGTGAAGCTATGCTGCTCACGTCCGTGTCTATGAGCGTGTGTGTCGGTCTGTATGACTTTGTGTTTGTCCACTCGGAGGCGGCGAAGTGTGACGGCCTGGTCACTCAGACCGTGGAGACTTATGAAGCGAGAGCAAGCCAGCTGTTCAATTTGGCCTCATGGGCAGACAGAATGAAAAGTGGAATACTGAAGAGAAATAGTCAACATACGACGTGTGCTGTATGTTGACTATGGATAAGTCCCCTCTGTGTATCTGCTATTTTCTGGTCAGGCAATGCCATGTTTTAGCTGTCATAAAGTATCATGTACTTTCAGGAACACATGCGAAATCTTTGGGGTATTTAAAGGATGCCATCACTCCTGCAAAGAACAGCTTAGTGAATGTCACTGTAATCTTTTAGGTGCTATGGATCAAAACAAATAATACAGTCTCATCGCAGAACAGCTGTCCCTGTCACATTTTTTTCCCAAAACGTTTAGAAAGAAGAGATCTTTTTCTAAAGTTGTTAGTGTCAAATTTCATACCTTAAAAAACTAGTTGTTTTTTTTCAAATGTGACAGAAGAGTGTGTCTCATCCCCCAATGGATCAGGTTTTCTTCCTGGAAAAACATGCTCTTGGATGTTAGACCATAACCCCAGCAGACTGTCAAATTTCACATGCAGGAGGAGCATTGTGGTTTTTGTCCTGACCATTCCAGTCATGTCTGTGTACCTACAGTTCTCGTTTTTTTTTGTAAGTGCGACATGGCCAGGGATGAGAGACTTCTCATTTAAATCCGGTATTGATACTAAAGTGCTCTTTCAGGATCATGGGAGAGTACAAGTATTTTCCTGCCGTGCTCCTGGATGATTTTAGGATGTCTCGGGAGATTTATAGACAAGTTGGGCCTTCTTCTGTAGTAATCCAAAGACTGCTTCAGTCTGTCATGGAGAAGAAAGACCTCAGATAAGCTGAAAGGAAAACTTTCAATTTAGCGGAACGTCAACATTTATATATTCATCTCTGATCGTTTGGCTTGGATCATGACTGAAAAACAAAATCCTGAGTTTAGAGGCTGAAAGCTCTGAGTTGTGTCTTCTTCTCCACATCAACAGTGGGTGCTCTCCCAGATCCAGGCTTATAACGTGAAGGAAGAAACTAGATTTCGTGTGAAAGCTTTCAGACTTGTACTGTCCCATGATCCTGAATTTGAGTAACCTTGTTAAGAAACAGGGAAAAAAATATATATATATATATTTATGGGTTTTTGCACTGGGCATCGCAGGAAGATTATTTCTTATTTCATAACTTTTGTTTTTTTCTATCATTCTGCTTTCCAGCAGCTGGGGACCTGTAGCAACTCTCTGACATCTAATTCTTTTCCCTAACATTAATTCCCTCTCTCCAAGAACTGAAGAAAAGATCAGTCTTCCCTACTTTTTTTCTGTAATGATTTATTTACTGTATATCATTTTTTTTCTCTGCTGTTGGCCCTGATTTGCATGCTGAGTAACCCTGCAACTCAGTAGGGGAGGTGCTAAATAATTTACATCTTTAAACCAAGTCCCTTATACATTCTCTTTTTTTATTCATTTTGCCAGTTGACTGTCACCGCAGTCCTATTCTTCTTGTGTCAATGTGATGTCCATCTCTCGTCTTCTCCGTTTTAATATTCTCAGAGAGTTTTCACAGGCTCTCTGCTCTGAATACATGAAGTGTAAGAGGGAAGGAATGACAGCAGCTGAGAACAACTGTTAAAGCAGGAACAAACTGGAAATAATCTTCTTTCTTCTCTTTCCTCTCTGGTTTGTGCTGTCTGTCTTTTGTTGTTCCCCTGTGCGCACTCCTTCACCTCACTCACCAACACTTTGATTGTCTCTATTTGTTTCTTTCTCCCCTGTCTCCTCAGATCCCAATGCGCTGGGGCAACATGGCACCGACCATGCCTTGATTGGAGGAGTGGTGGCTGTAGTGGTCTTTGTCACCTTGTGTTTAATCATTGTTCTGGGAAGATACCTGGCCAGGCATAAAGGTAAAACCACAATGGGCCAGACCTCAAGGCCCATCGAATCAGTGGAGCATCCTCTGCTTGTCAAATATTAGTCTGCAGCTCTTCTTTCTTTTCAAAGTTGCCGCTGGGTTAGGATAGGATTCGTTTTGCACATTTGGGAAATGTTATGTAAATGACTTTAATTTGAGCTGAATGTTTTTACATTTAGTCACCTTGTAAATGAATGCCCAAAGTTTTATATTTAATTGTGAATTTATGTAAGTGGTTGAAGTGTCTTGTCAACAGTCACAATGACTGAAACAGACAAATTGGGGGCTGAACTGGGAACCTTCCAGTTATAAGACAGATTCCTACTGCAGTTGCCTCCACTGATCCAGATAAATGGATCAACCAGCATTCTTCAGAGATTACCAAATTAGTAAATAGTCAACATTAGTACATTTACTAGACAGTGTAAGTCAACATTTTTTGTGTGTGTCAATGAATAACAATAAGCTTAAACTGGAGTAATAATGTAGATGTTCTACATGTTATTACTAAATAGTATTAATTAATCCCAAATTATGATCCTCCAAAATTGAGCCAACAATTAAACGTAATAATGCATAACAAAGAAATCAATTATGAAAGCTTTAAATTGCATTAATTAATTTTATTGTAATAGTTTTAAGAGTAGCGTGGATTTTTTTTTCAGTGAAGTCAATTTTTTATTGCAACAAAGCAAATAATTACATATTTTTGCAACGTCCTCTAAAAAGAATTTTATTTGGAGCACATGCACAAACTCGGTTTAAGGAAATCACATAGAGAATACATATCTAAAATTTAAAGGTGATGGTCAGAATTCAGCAGCAATGCTAAAACATTTGGCCCTGAGCACAGCATCGTTGTGTTTTAAGTCTTGTCAGTCTGAAAATGGCCTGCGTGTTTGTTGATGCTTTTGGGTTGTGTCTGCAGAGGGCTTTACTCACATTTACCACACTATCCCAGGTTCTCATCATTCTGTCTATGAATAATGTAGCATCACTGATGTTGTCTTCAGATGTGCTGTCTGCCCCAAGCAGCCAATGCCATGCAGGGCTGCTCAGTATTTGTTTTCCTTGAGATGGGTTTGTTGTTTTTTCCCCTGTCTTCTGCAGGAACATACTTGACGAACGAAGCCAAAGGAGCGGACGACGCACCCGATGCCGACACAGCCATCATCAACGCTGAAGGCAACCACGCACACGCAGAGGAAAAGAAGGAATACTTCATTTAGACTGCATAGGGAGCTGTGCTGCTCTCTACATTTTCTTTCAGTCCCTCTATTTCTTATAGTCTCTCTCTCTCTGTCCCCACTTTCGTCTTCACCTGTGGCCACTGCCCCCTTTGAGTCAACACAGCCCGCAGGCAGAGATGTTCCCCTAGCTTTTTATTATTATTATGTCCTCTGGTTCAGCATTTTCCCATATTACATTTTTACAATTTTTTTTTTCCTTTTTGAGAGATTTTTTTTAAATCTTCCACATGCAGTTTGATGCTGCTCCTGAAGCTCTACTTATTCTCACATTTTTGCTCTTCTAGTGACACAAACTCCTGGAAATCTATATCTCTGCCATGGCTGCTTCTTACGTGACCTCTTGTTCACCCTTTTTCCTGTTTCCCACCAAGCAGACACGCTGCCACACGTTGTATCTCATGCCCCCCTCACATATCTCACGTCAACACGGTGCCTAAAAATACAGACGCCATCGAACTTCTTTCAATGCCTTCATGTGTCGCCTGTCAGTAGCAATGTAAATGCTATATGTAGATCATTTCATTGCTTAGTTCACAGCTTTTAATTATACATTGCGTCCTTTTTTATTTGAATGATCTGTGCTGTTTACGCCTTATACGTGTCTATCACACTGAATATGGTACTTTTAGATGAACCACTGCGCCCGACTTCCCCATCCCCTCTGAATAAACTTGTAATTAAGCAGTGGACCCTTGTAAGATAAGACGAAGGTTTTGTGTAACACTGTAGCAAGGTCCGTCAGATAAGTGTATAATATGATTTTCACTATTAGGGTAGGAGTAATATGGGTTAGTGCAGTGTTGTTTAGAGCAAAGACCCACCAAAAATATTTGAAATAGTAGATGAGGCTACTTGCTAAATCTGCTGTCCCTGTGTACTTTACTCTGTACATCCCTGCACCATGCAAACAGCAGTTTAGTGAAACATTTTAAACCCTATCTGGACAGCTTACAATAGTCTGTGTTTTACATTAATGGTTCAGATGTACAGAAAGAAATCTCCACATCTCAAAATCTGTAAAAATTGTATTGAAATTCTTTTAACTTTTCACATTTTAGTAATTTACTTTCTGTTCATATCATATTAGAGTCATTTTGCAGCTTAAAGGCCTCATGAAATGTACAGTGAACAATTTAAGGTTTCTGTAATAGCAAAATAAAACTGTAGCAGTGTGTCTTGGTGTCATCCTTTTTGGACAGCCAAAAAAAATAAAACCCTACATCTATTGATCTATTGATCAATAGAATCTATTAATAGATCAATAGATTCAAATCTATTGATGCCCCAATAGTTTGAGGTACAGACAGAAAAGATAATATATTTTGACTATGTGGGATACGCTAATGGACGTCTGTCCATTGGTTTTCATCGTAAACAGCTGTAACACCCTGTAAATTAGTTATAATGTCCACCTTTAATCTTTAGGTTTCAATTCAAATATTCACATCATCAGTGTAGAGGTTTTGGTGATCCAACACTTTGTCTTTTGGTTAAAAGATGGCTATTAGTTTGCTAGTTCATCCCATTGGATTCAAATATTGTACTATAAAGTTGATCAAAAACAAAAAGACATCGGCTTTTCACTTGTAAATTATAAATCCTGTAATATAGGAGACAATGAGTTGCAGGAAAAAGCAGTAATGCCTCCATCTTCATGCACGCCCACTACTTGTTTCCTCACTCTGTCAGTGAGGTCAGCTGACCTTGTAGCTTATCCTCTAAAACAGGATAAACTACAAGGCGTTGTAGATGCCAGCGTGCGAGAGCAGCAGCTCGTCTGCTGTTTATGCAAACAGAGGAAGCCTCAGGCCTTCCTCTGATGCAGATTATATCGATGGGTTGGTCCAAATGGTTTTCCACTTGGATCCGCTTCCTTTGAGGATGTCTCCAGCCGGCACTCACTGAGAGCGTCTGTAATCAGAACTGTGACTATAATAATAATAATAATAATAATAATAATAACAATAATAATGGAGGAAGGGGTTGCGGTCTCCGAAAGAAATTGAAGTGATGTCCTGTAACTTTTAGATGTGCCTCTGCTGCACCAAACCTGATTAGAATAATTAGGTCATTAGCAAGGCTCTGGAGAACTTATCTACACAAGGAGGAGGTAATTAAGCCATTTCATTTAAGTGTTTTGTACCTGTGGCACATCTAAAAACTGCAGGACACGGCTCTTGAGGACTGGAGTTTTAAACCTGAGCTCTAAAACAATCATTCTTTTACCTTGCTCATATTCTTGAAATGTATCCTTGTTGAAAACTGAAGAAAGTTATCAGTTCTTAGTAGGTAACTGATAATGATGTTTGGACTGCCACTGTACATGTTATGTTTCACTAGTTTTTGAAGAGAAAACTGAAACTGCATTAGTGAGTCTTTTTATTTTCCATTTAGTCAGTCACAGTTCCATTTCATGAGGTCTTAAAGCAAAAAAATGAAATTGGAGAGAAATGTTGAGAGTGCTGGCTAATATATCTGCTTGGGTCCTATTTCCAAAATGTAAAAACTGGAGGCAAACAGATAAGCACAAAATTTGACAGAATGAGTTACTGTGTTCCTTTGCCAACAACTAAATTGCCTTGGGAACGGTTCTTTTAATCTAAAAGGTAATGGAAAGATGAAAGTGAATTTTTTTGGAAATGTAAGCTAAGTAATTTTTTATATTAAAAAAAAATCTAATATTGTTGGTTTAAAATGTATCCCACTCCCTGTTATATATTGTGTCTGCTAAAATGTGGTTGACTGTAAAAAAAAATGCTGTTAAATTCTGGACTCCTTTATTCCTTCAAATGTATATTTGTCACTATTACTTTCATTTTTAAGAAGACTTAAAAAATTATGTTTTGTTTTTGTGCAAAGCATGTACATAATGTGTAAGAACAACACTTTGGTACTACACATTAGCATGATTTTTGTTCTTTTTTAAAACTTTTAATTTATTTAAACTAAAGTTGTTGACCAGAAAATCACAACAGAAGTACATTAAGCTTCACTTGTTTTGGTACTGCAGGTCTGAAGAATAAAATATTATAATAACAGTCAAGTTTAATGATAAGTCATCTAAATATTGGCACAAATTGGTGTTAAAATGGCTATTTATATGTAATAATAAAAGAAAATATATAATTGCTTATATACCCATTGCCCAAAATGAAAACTACAACATATTGACCACTTTATTAGATATACTTGTTTATTTAGTTAACACAAATACAGCATATTCACATATATCACATGGCAAAACTTCTAAACACTTGGATATCTTTATGTTGTGAAGATGTCTTTTTGAGGTGCAAACCTAGCATCAGAATGAGAAAGAAAATATTTATTAGTTTGAACGAGGGATGGCTGCTGGTGTCAGATAGGCTGATTATTACAAATTGTTGATCTACAGAGATTATCATACTCAACTTGCTGAAAATTTTGAAAATGATTAGCAAATAGTATCATTTGTGTGAAAAAAGATCAAGTTGATATGAATGCCTGGAAATAAATGGACACACTAATGTGATATAGTAGAAAGGCAAAAGTTGCCCAAATAACCACCCATTACAATAAAGGAATGCAGAATAATATCTCTGAACACTCAACATGTTGAGCTTCAAACTTTGAACAGATGAGCCACAGTAGTAGAATCCCATTCTGGGTGCCACTCCTGTCTGCTAAGAGCTCAAAACAGGCAAGAAATCACAACTTCACCAAAATTAGATGATGGGAGGTTGAATTGCCTGGTCCAGGGAATCCTAATTTCAATTGCAATATTGAGATGGTAGGATCAGAATTGCATCAAACAACATGAAAACGATAGACTTGTTCTGCCTTGAATAAACAGTTCCAACTGCTGCTGGTCTAATGTCATGGGGATACTTTTTCTTTGCATCTGTCAATTCTGTTTTTGTATTGTTTTAAAGGAATTTGGCTGACTTAGTCTCCTGTAAAAGTGTGATAAAAACCAACAGTAGTAATCTATTTGGATGAAACTAATTATTACCAATGGCAATAAAAATGTTGGCCCTGCTATCTCCAGTTTTATGGCCAGTTAACAACTTTATGCAAACATGGTTGAATGGCAAACTGTCTTGCTCTGTATGGCAATGTTGGACTTCATAACTGGAGAGAATCGCATGTTAGAAATCCTTAGATCAATATCAGCATATTTTCTTGTCACAGTGTATGTAGGGATAAATATTTTTTTAGGTATTGTTAATTACATTTTTGTTGTTTTACACGTTTGTGCACTTCAACTTTCACCATGCTGTTAACAGATTTGACTTTGTTTTAAAAAGCTCTTGCAGTTTCTGCCAATTTTTTGCAGAAGAAATCATCTATATATAATACTCATATTTTCTGTTACGTTTCATCTGTGTACCCATCTTAGAAATGAGAAAAGTTAAGACAAGATATTTAACAAATGGTCTGCAGTGATGAGTTGGTGTTGGCATTGGAAAAGAAAAGGTGCCATTTACTGAATTATGCACTCTGGCCGTTACAATTTGATGGATATTTCTTAGTAAATGTTAAAATGTGTGTGTGGGGGTTTTTTTTTTCTTTAGAAACCAACTGTAAATATTTGGTTTGAAATGAAAGTATTGAGTTGATTTATTGCAATGGCTTTTTATAATCAATAGACCAAACTTAAATTTTGTTCAATTCTGTTTTGATGTTTTTTGTTTTTTCCAACAGCTTAGCTCATGCCACCATTCGCCCCTTTATTATACAGATCCAATTGTAGCTGTTCCTTTTTTAATTTCTTCTTCTTTTTTATGTTTCATGTTAGTTGAAGAAACTAAGCTTTAAAAACAAACTAATTACCCATTTTGTGTTGGTTTGGTAAGCAAGATTATGGGCTTAAAACTCCATTATTAAGATCACAAACTTGTACAATTGCAATGTCATGTTCTTTAAGTGGCAGGCTATTTTTTTTTTTTTTTTTTTTTTTGGTTCTCTAATTTCCTTGTTTATAGCAACCCCGTTTTCTTCTGCTGAAGGTGTGCTTGGTGCGGGTGAGGTTGTGCATTTATGCAGATTAAGCAGCACAATCCTGGCTGCAATTTTGGCAGGAAATTGCTCGCAATTTTATGACCAATTTTCATGTTGGCAGGGACATCTACACACCAGTGGAAATTTACAAAAAACACCCTTTTTTCCTCTTTTGTTACAGGTCATGTTGTTCATGGCCTGTACAGATTTACAGCCAGGTAAAAAAAAGCTGTTTACCTGAAGTTAAAGAATTAGATGAGTTACCCCAGTATTATTTTATCTACCAGTTGAGAATTGTCTGCCAAATAATCAAACCTGGAGCAGAATAATGTTTGTCCGTTTCTGTGTGGGTTTGTAAAATACACCAGAAAAGAACAAGTTACTCTCTATTAGAGAGCAGATGCTGAATCGTGTTTTGTAAAGAAAACTCAGCCTGAAAAACTGGACATTATGATAAATGAGCTAGCTCTTTATGATTTATCTGTATCCACTTCCTGCCTACCTGCTTCTTTTATACTTTGGATTGAAGCTAATGTGTTTTTAAAGGGTAATTTGGCTTTTTTGAAGAGATGTTTATGAATGTTGCTATCAGTAATAGCTCCCATAACTGTACCAGATAGAGTTTGTTGGTAGTTTTAATGGAAGCAAACAAGTTTTCAGAGCAATGGAAGGACAACGTGAAGTCACACAATATGTTATTGATTTAAGATCACCCAAAATATTTTTTATACAGTCCTTTATCAGCCAAACAGCTTTCCTGTTATGACTCTGACGTTATATCAGTGTAATCATTCCTAATTGCTAAAATAATGGTGTGTCCGACAAACAAGAGCATGTTCAGTGTGAGGTCTTATAAATTGGTCTAATCAGTTAAAATTTAAAGTTTTAATTGCAGCTTAACTTTTAGCAGAACAACTCAAGACAGACATCTGTCTACTGCAGTTAGGGGAACTAGCACTAATAATAATGTCACAGAATGACACATAAGAAAATCTGAATTATCCTTTTAAAAATATTGCATTGTAACTGGACCAAATCCAATGACATTCTCTTTCTCAAAGTCCCCAACACTGTAGATTTGACTCATAACAGCATATTGAATGTTCATATAAATGAAAAATTTTTATCAAGTCACTAAAGGTTGATGTGAAAATGATATCTGTTCTGAATCTGCTTATTTGACTCTGGTTTTAAATAATTCAGGATTTTGTTTTGACACAGTTTCCATGCCCTGTCTGGCTCTTCATATGCCTTTGCTGTACAGTTTACCTTCAATCCAGCTCTTTGTACCTCCTGAAATATCAATGCAGACATCAATAAGCCCAGTTTCTATATTGCCGCATTGATCACGTGTGACATAATCGCATGTAGTGATGTGCAGTTATTATTTGTATCAGTTTTGTTTCTTTTGCATCTCAGGAATATATTTCATTTAGGATTTCTTTTCTTTTTTTTTTTTTTTTTGGTGGTTTCCTGTTTTAAAATGGGGACATGTGAGCACTTATCACTCTACTCGCCCCTGTATGCTGACACCATGTATTTGTTTAAGATTACCACGATGTTAATAAAATTATTCAGTGATTCTTCAGTAATTCTGTCACCTTGCTGTCATTGAAAACATTTTCATTAGTCTTTTTGATAACGTTTGTTAAAGTCGCAATTTACCACTTAAAGTTCTTGTAGCTTTTATTGATAAGGCAAGGAAGCTCTGATGATGCACTGCAACTATTTATACTTTGGATACATTTGAACTGTCGTCATGAGGAGTCCTGGGTGCATGCACACACAGACACACACTATCCCCAGGAATACTCCAACAAAAACACCAACATATGCACAGAAGCATGCTCATATTTTTTATTCAGAGGAATAATTCATGTTGTGTTTCAACTGCATGTCTGGGCTCTGTGGCCCCGATGTGTTGGCGTTCAGTTTATCATGTGCAGTCTTTAGACGACTTGGGAGTGTCTTGCTATATTTGTTGACTGTCTACACAATAATACTCCTGTGACAACAGCTTTACCTGAAACAAGCAGAATATAAAAGTGCTTAAACGGTCTCAGGAAATTAAACGTGTACAGGAAAAAAAAGAAAGTCAGCGAGGCTGAAAACATTCATTATGGGCTCTGTTGGATTAATAGTAAAAATAAGCATACAGTTGTTTTCATTTACAATTATATACAAACCAAACTGTATAAAATTAGGTCGCACCATTGCCTTGTAACAAGAAGGTCCCGGGTTCGAATCCCCGAGGGTTTCTCCCAGTTCATGTTTTCTCCGGCTTCCTCCCAAACTGTCAGGTTAATTGGTCCCTCGAGGTGTGAAAGTCTGAGAACCATTAATAGATGTCTATCAATAAATTAGACTATAACTGAAGTTTAATTGAGTTTAATTGATTTTCATAGTCCAATTGAAAAATAGAACAAATTCACAGATTCTTTAATTCAGAACATTTCTATTCAATGCTTGATATAACAGAGAACAATTAAAATTGCATGTTGTCATTATTCCTAACTTTATAGTTAGATATTTGAAAATGTTTAATTCCAGATTAATATGTTGCAACACTTTAAATCCATTACTCTTGATCAAATTCACTATGTTGATTTGAAGTGAAGGGACATACCCTTTGCATCCTCACACTCACGGGCATGAAGAGAGTGAAGAATGCGCATACATTTTGGGAAGGATGAAGCACATAAAAATAGGTATAAGCATATGAAGATGGAGAGAGTGAGAACGTCATGATGCACCCAAGCTTGAAAGACAGAAGGAAGAGCCATCCGGCATTTTCAGGAAGTCAAAAGATGATGACTGAAGGGGAGAATTAGGTAATAGCAATAAGATGTCATGTTAGATTGAAGAAAGCAGCTGCAATCAGCCCATCTGTCAGGAATAAATGTAGCCTGGAGAGGGTTGCAGTTTTGCAGCTGAAGTATGATTCCGCCGCTGATGGAAAGGGAGGGGGTCAGTGAAAAACTCAATTACCTCTCAATCAATTGAGCTGGTTTCTTGAACTGGCACAGGCAGCTCAAGAAAGACTGCAGAAAAAGAAATGGTTTTCATGGAAAAGCTAGTTTGCATAAATGATTTTAACCCACCCGTTTAAGCAACTGCTGGCTGCGTAACCTCCCTGAACAAATTTTTCCAGAGGAAAACTTGCTTTAAGGTACTGAAGATTTCATGTTATGAACTAATTCTTACATAGTTTGAGCAATGACTAAACTAAATCAATCTCACAAATGACTTTTATCAGAAACACCAGCCAAAATAATTTGATAAATTATTACATTAAATTGCGCTCCTGATTAAATATGGTTAAGAATTTGTCCACCTTAAGTCTCATGGCAACAAAATTTCAAGAAGTAGTAGCTCTAAACAAACATTTTTGATTCACCGTTATTTAAATTTTAAATTCTATTCTATCAATAAATGTACAAAACAAACAAGGAGGTCTTTCTGAAAGTTCAGAAGAGAAACCAACATTTATTTAAATGTGAATAATAACTTTCTCGAAGTTAAATAGTGTTAAAAATGACAAGATGGTGAAAGTTGACTGAGTGATCACCTTTTAAATTCTGTCAGCATGCACAATAATTATAGGTATATAATTATTGTTTTGTTGTGGCCACATTAGTGGCATTAGGGATTAAAACAGCCCAGAAAAAAAACACTGATTGTTGCAACTATTTACCACAGCCAACAAAAGACTGTGGCCAACAACAAACTTGGAACCAAAATTAATGACTGACATTTGTTTCATAATAAGGAGCAGAAAGAAATTAATTGTGATTTTTTTTTATTCAACATCCCCATCCCAAAAACATGAACTTTGATGTTCACATATGCTCTTTATCCAATCTATTTGAGCTTGAACTGTTTTGTGAAGAAGTATGGGGAAGGTCTTTTGTCTGTAGGTGTGGAGAGCTGTTAGTGACATAGCCCAACTTTTTTTTTTTTTCAAAACCATGTCTTCTTATGCTTCACAGCTATAACAACTATAACACTTTTGTGTTGTTCTCTTAATTTTAATCAAATACATTGAAGTTTGTGGTTGTACATTGACAATATTTGAAAAGTTTCAGTGAGTATGAGTATACTGTATTTTCCAGAAGACTTTAAATTACTGTAGAGTTAAAGTCACTGTTGTTGACTGTACACCCACTACAGCATCTTTCGTTCCCTTCCATTTAATTTTATGAGACTAAAAGAAGAATTTCATTAGAATGGGGCAAAGACACAAGTATGCAGATGGTTCTTCATGAGAAATAACATACATCTGATAGTTTATCTCTGCTTTTTAGGGCTGTCGAACATAGATGATTGGTGGCAATGCACACAACTCTAACTCACTGTCTCTTTCTGATCATCCCAAAGCCTCCTTCCTCACACCTGTTCAGTGAGAGCCAGCTCACTGGTGAAGGGAGCAGCCGCTCCATATGCAAATCCATATGTGAAGATGATCTACTTTTCCTATTCTCAGCTTTTTCTGTCAGAGCCACTTTTCTGTTCTTGCATAAATTTAGTCAAACTATTATTTTAATGCTTCCTTTGCTGTGTTAGGTGGATTTAACTCAAGTTGGAGGTTTTTTCTTCCTTTTTGTCCTCTACTCTCCTTCTACTACAGAATCCAGTATAACAAAATCCCATTTACCTTGTGGTGCATTCCCTTTGTAGGCTGACAGAAGGGATACATACTGACTTTGATGTCTGGTAAATTTGCTGACCATGTGTGTCCGCATTCAAAACCATATATGGCTTTAGAATGCCATACACATTAACTGTTTGATCTCCAAGATGCCATCAGCTAGAGAAAAAAAAACACCTTGATGTATATTAGCTTTATTCTGAGAGAACCTTTCTCTTTTTCTTTTTTTTTTATTTAAAAAAACAATGTCTAAACCAACTCCTTTTATGGTATGTTTTTATTTTTTGAGTAGTGTGCCATTAGTCCTTCCACTGCCATTTTATGCAGTTCTGCTCAATTTTCATCAGGCAAGCCTTTGTGCAGGCAAGCCTTTCATAAAAAAAATTTTAAACAAGGAAATTGCATTTTAGAAAAATTGGTTTATCCTCCTGCATTTTCTTTTAAAATAACCTGAAATTCTCCATTCATTATTTATCCTTTTTTTGTCATTCATGAGATTCATCTGAGTCGATTATTCTGATATCTTCATTTTTACAGTTTCCTGTAGAGCAGCACCAATAAATCCAGACAGAAACAATAGCTTGTACATATTAAATGAGTTATATCTTCAAAGAAATAGACTAAAAACCTACTAGTTTATATATTTCTATATGCCTTATCTACTCTACTGCTACCCAGAACAAAAGAAGAATAATCCTAATTTAATTCACCTGTGATTAGCCATATTCTTCTTCTTTTACACAACCGAGAGCTCAACTCTCATCAGTGGTGTTGATATCAGAAAAACTATGAATAGTTTAATTATGAGGTATGACAAATTATTTTGTTCTGGTCTATTTTAAATTATACACCAATCAGGTATAACATACATCTACCTGAATCATAGTGTGTTGGTCAAATTTATGCTGGTGTAGCAGCCCTGAATCTCTGAGCCCTGGTGTCAACCAGTGGGAAGGTGAGCTGTGGTATCTGCCACCAAGCGGCAGATCCCTTCAGTGCAAGAAGGGCCTCCGTGGATTGGATTTGTTTGAAGAGCACATCCAGCAGATGCTGTATTGGATTGAAATCTGGATGTTGTAGAGGCCAAGTCAACACCTTCCTTTGGATACTAAGCACTGCAGACAGGAAACAGCCCACAGAAGCTGCAGCTTGGAAATGTCTGACTCAGTTGATTAGTCATCATTTGGCCCTTATCAAATGTGTAAAAAAAATCCTTTTGTTTGACAAATTTTTATTGCTTCTAACATAATTTTTACTTGCTGTTTAATATATTTCACAGACCATATTAAAGAGACTTTAATATGGCAATGCACACAACTCTAACTCACTGTCTCTTTCTGATCATCCCAATTTACCTCTTCAATTTACCTCCTCAAATTGAAGAGGTAATGTGGAATTTCACCTTACCTAATTCCACACCTGATTGGTACATCCCAAGAATTCAAATTCCAAACAAAATTTCTAAATATAAAGACATAAATTGGTGGTACTACTAATATAGTAATGATAATCATCATCATCAGTAATTTGTGTTTTAGATGTTGTCAGGAAACATCCTGAACTTGTCCCTCCTTCAGTTTCACAGAATTGTACATCATGATGTTTGGAACATCAACAAAGAACTGAAAAGTATGTTGCATGATGCTCCTCTTTCGGGTAGAGGAGGCGTGCCGATTTCTCAGTCCTAGAACACCATCTGTGTTTTTGTCTGCATTGTAGAGGTCCCCAGCAGCGGTGCCATGGCTTATCAGCTCAAAGAAGACAGAACACTGGGTTCAAAAACCCAGCTGCATCCTCCAACATGGGGATTTGATGTTTTTGACATAATACAAATTTCCCAGAAAGACTTTATATTTATACATGCCAAACTAACTAAGTTGGACAAAAAAATATGATTGGGTGTCTTTAATGCAAAAATTTTATGAAAATGTTGCTATATTCCAA